CAGCTCTGTCCCTCACTTCTGAGCTTCTGCTGTGACACCATTCCCGGCAGGAACACAGAGCTCAGAGGACTTGGGGACTTGTCTTCCTAGGTGCTATCGTCCCTAGGACCCCTCTGGTCCCTCTTGCGGCAGCCACACTGCCAGCACGGTCCGCACCTCTGTCTGTTACCTTCCGGCCTGAGGGTAATTAACACACTGGCAGACAGGTGACGGGCACACGCATTCCTCAGCCCTCTGCCCTTTGCCACCCCCGGGGCCAGCAGGGGAGACTCACGTGTCCTGAGGCTGGAGCAGGCTTCACCTTGGGCTTGGACAGGGCCTGGGTGCTAGGGAAGCTGTATCCCCGAGTCTGATCATAGCTACCCAAGTTAAGACAAGTGCAGCCTTGAGAGCCTGGGTAAGAAGCAGCGACACGTCAGCGACACATGTGACTTTACAGATGAGGTGACTTGACTAATGCCCTACCTGTCAGGTTGTTTCAGAAGTGAGGCAAAGCCATTACTCTGGGTCAAAAAGGAGCTAAAGCGGGTCTCTCCACAGAGGTCCTGAGCAGCGCTGCCACGCAGAGCCATCTCAACCCGTGAGAGACAGCCTCACTGGACAGCGGGAACAGGGGCTCAGGGGAAGGACGGTCATTTTCTCACGAACATACATCCTCACCACACCGCTCCTCTGCTCTGCTCCAGGGAGCTGTCGGCCCTGGCTCTCAGCCTGGTCTTTCCATAGAGTAGCCAGGCACTCTGACTTAACATCTCTCTGGAATTCCTGCTATACATACAGAACCCTGGGCCTAGTGATGCTGAATGAACTAGCCCTTGATTTATGTGGGGTTTTTTTTTTTTTTTTTTTTGTTTGTGTTGTTTTTTTTTTTCAGACTTATTTATTATGTATACAGTATTCTGTATGTATGCATGTCTGCATGCATCTGAGGGCATCAGGTCTCATTATAGAGATCTAGACCTCTAAGCTATCTCTTCTGCCTACCCCTCCCTCCCTCCCCTTCTTTGACAAGTGCCTCACTATGTAGCCCTGGCTGCCTGGAACTCAATATAAAGGGCAGGCTGGCCTCAAACTCATAGAGATCCACCTGCCTTTGCCTCCTAAATGTTGGGATTGAAGCGTGCCCACCATGCCCAGCAAGTTTTGTGGTTCAGAGCCAATCAGTCTTAGTAGCACTTTAATATATACCTGTACTCAGGAGTAAGATTGTAAGTTCTGGGCCAGCTTGGGCTCCATGAGACCCCAATTCTCCTACAACCAATCAAACAAATATAGGAAAAGTTTCCTAGTGTTTCTGATCATCAGTGAGGTGTGGGAGGCATGGAGGCCCTTGTGCTCACAGATAAGTACTAGGGGAACCAGGAATGTTGAACACACATGGCTGCCCCTTCAAAGGGAGGGATGTATAACCGTTTTCCACCCAGGAGGATGGGAGCAGAGACGGTTAGGTCCCTGGTGACTTTTGTTCTCTGTGTGGCTGAGACCACAGCCGATCCTCCCCACCCCCTTGTTTTTCTGAGTCTACCGAACCTGTCTTTGTGGAAGATGCCACTTGTACTTTACAAAGAGTCTTGATATAGTCACATCTTAGGTTTTGTTAGACACACAGGATTGAGTTAATTATCGCCAGGAAACTTCACCAAACTGTGCTAGGCTTAACTATGCCTAAAATAAACTACTCAGGGACAAACGCTCACAGTTTGAACCAACACCAGCGACCGAGTCATGCTGAACTGAACTGCCTCCATGCCTTCTGTGGATCGTGTACTCTGCTAGCTCTCAAGCTCCCCTGCAGTGGAGTTTGACAGTTACTGCTTTCAAGAGCATGGAAATGCTCCCAGGAAAACACATACGTTCAACAAATCTGTGGGCTTTTTGGAAGCTTGAGGACACAAGCTCCTTCCTGGCTGTAATTCCTGGCAAGTGACCTCACCTCTGTGCCTCATGCGATGGCGATGTCCAAAGGACACACAGACACACTCGGGACACAGTGCCCAGTGCATGGAAGTACTAGGCTTAGCGCATGCTCTGTCCTGGGTTCTAGGTTAGGCATGTTTACCTTAATCTCCTTGGATGTAAACACAGCCGATGTCACCCTGCAGTCAGTGGGGTTGAGCTACAGGTAGAGCAGTCCCTTCAAAGTGGGGTTCCCCAGCCCAGGCCATTCTTTCAGCACTATGACCTCTCAAGAGGGTCACTGGTGCAATGCCACATTTCAGTAAGAGAATTAAGAGATCCTGGGAACAGGTCAAAGGCAGTCTCTAAAACCACAAAGCTACATTCTTTCCTGCGAACGGGAAGGGGATGGGAGACAGACCTGGCCCTACTGTGCCTGTATGACAATTTGTGACATCATCTCGTCCCCAGCCTGCTCCTGCAACCAGCATGCCCGACGCTGCCGATTCAACTCCGAGCTATTCAGGTTGTCAGGTGGCCGTAGTGGGGGTGTGTGTGAGCGGTGCCGCCACCACACAGCTGGGCGGTACTGTCAGTACTGCCAGCCAGGGTTCTGGAGGGACCCAAGCCAGCCCATCACTAGCCACAAGGCCTGCAGGGGTGAGTGTGGCCTGAAGCTGAGGCAAAGGGGAAAGGGACACAGAGCTAGGGCTCTATATTGGCAGGTGCAGAGGTGGGTGCGAGGGAGGAGGCTTCAGTCTAGACTCTCGGGTTTGGGGAATGGTCCAAAGGTTTTGCAGGGAGCCTACCGGCCCCAAAAATCTCATTCCTTTTGTCACGAAGCTTGCCAGTGCCACCCGATTGGAGCAACAGGAGGGTTGTGCAACCAGACCAGCGGCCAGTGCTCTTGCAAATTAGGGGTCACAGGCCTCACATGCAGTCACTGTGGTCCTGGGTACCAGCAGAGCCGTTCGCCTAGGATGCCCTGCCAACGTAAGTCCCACAGCGCTTGATGCTGCAAGTCCTGAACTGTGGACAACTGCAGTGTCAGAAAATATGGTCTGACCCACACTACAGCCTCTTCAACTCGGGAAGAAACAGGCTGAGGGTTTGGGACCCTTGTCCCTGTGAGGAAAGGATGACTGTGCCCTTGGGAGTTGGCATTCCTGGATTCCTAATGATGACTCCTAGACTTTAAATTGAATTTCTCCTCTGGTCTAACAGGAATTCCAGAGGCAACAACCACGCTGGCTACTACCCCTATTTCGTCTCGATCTGGTAAGAGGCTGGCGCAGACGCTTCAGGCAGGGATCTGCTCTGGGATGGGATCTGCTCTGGGATGGGATCTGCTCTGGGATGGGATCTGCTCTGGGATGGGATCTGCTCTGGGATGGGATCTGCTCTGGGATGGGCTCACTGAGCCCACAGGGTACCCAGCCCTCCTGTTTTGTTGTTTGTTTTGTTTTGAGAAGGGATTCTCTGGGCAGCCCTAGTGGAGCTTGGTCTGTAAACCAGGTTAGCCCTGAACTCATAGACTGGCCTGCCTTTGCTTCCTGGGTGCTGGGGTTGGAGGCCACCACGCCTGGTCTCTAGCCCCTCTCGAGGGTTCAGACAGTCCAGCTCTCTGAAGAGATGGGGTGGGGAGATGGGCTGTGGCCCAGGCCGTGGAACGCACTGCAGAGAGCCCCACCCTCTCCAGACCCACAGTGTCAAAACTATTGCAATGTTTCGGACACCAGCGTTCACATGACCCTTCAGAGGTACTGCCGGCAGGATTATGGTAAGTGAGGGGGGAAAGAGAGCCTGCCTTCTCCCTGCCCTTCCACGCCCTTACTTTAAATGGGAAAGGATGTCAGACCCTACAGGACCCTTCCCTGCCAGGCCGAGTGGGACAGAAGACAAAGGGGGGCGGCGGGGAGGGCCCTACCTTCTTGTGCCCTCCAGTCCCCCATCGTCTGCACAGCTCTATTCTGTGCTTCAGCCTGACCTCACGGAGTGCTGGAAGGAGAAGAGGGGTCTGGCTGAAGAGAAGGGCCCTTGTTCCTTCCTGGACTGCCTCCCGTCCAGTCTCAGACCTGAGGCTTTGTCCCCCTCCCCATCGGTGCATGTCCCCAATCCTACCAGCTCGGCTCTCACTCGGGAACCAGGCCTAGCTAAAAGATCCGAACCAATCCCAGTCGCTTCCTTCTGTAGCGGGCCATGGTCCCTTTGCCCTCAGGGCCATCGGCCACCTTCGCTGTCACAAGTGTTTGAAGTAGAGCTTCTCCCACCCTGTTCTCAGGGTATTGACCCCACAGATCTGGCTTGTTAGTCAGAGTCCAGCCCCCAGGTCCACCTGACACACACACATACACACACACACACACACACACAGCGCCATAGCACTGATTCATACTAGCATAAACTTAACCAACTCTCCGGCCTTAGCTCTTGATTCATCCTTTGGACCCCAATTCACCCCAGAGCCTTTCTGGCAAGGCCCATCTCTCCTGGAGCCTCCACTGCTGGAAGCTCCTCACTCAGCCAGACATGGGGTGCAGGCTCAAAACCTCCAGGTCCCAGGAGGCTGAGTTATTAGTTTAGGCTCCAGAATAAGTTCGGGACCAGCCTCAACATTTCAGTGAGACCTTGTTGCCAGAGCAGTAACAAGCCTGGAATCCTAAGGCTACTGTTGATACTGACAGGGTCCAGAATGTTCTACCCAGCATTACTGGAAGCGCTTAGGAAACTCTCGCTGCCTGAACTCTTGAGAGCATCATCCTGAACCTCTACCACAACCCTGAAACCCTACTTCACATCTTCTTCCTAATCCCAACTTTGAGGGCCCCTCTGCACCTCCCATGGCCCTGACAACCACGGCCCTGGACTTCCCGTCCTCCACGGCACATACCATTGCAGTCGCCATACCAACTTTGAGCCTGGCCTCTACTTCGTACACTCAGACCGGTGGCTCTTTCCTAACTTTCCTAACGCTGCTACCCTTTAACACAGCTGCTCATAAAATCATTCTGTTGCCCCTTCATAACTGTAATTTCGTTAAGAATCATAAAATAAACCGGGCCTTGGTGGCGCACGCCTCTGATCCCAGTTCTCGGGAGGCAGAGGCAGGCAGATCTCTGTGACTTCGAAGCCAGCCTGGTCTACAGACCGCGTTCCAGGGCAGGCTCCAAAGCTACAGAGAAACCCCGTCTCCAAAAGCAAAAAACGAAACAAACAAACAAACAAGAATCTGTAACCCAGGCAACCCCTGTGAAAGGGCCATTTAACCCTAATGGGGTCCAGCCTCCACTACTGGGAACTGCTAATCTAGCCCTGCCCGCCCCTTGCCACTGCCCCAGGGTAGGGTCTTCTCCATCAGGCCTGTCCTCACTGCACAGGGACAGCCTCCCTTGTCTGACCGTATCTTCCCGCAGTTCTGCACGCACAAGTTCAGGAGCCCTCCCGGGTTTCAGCGTCTGAGGCGGTGGGTCGTGAGTGGTGGCGGCTGGCTGTGCACGTGCTGGCTGTGTACAAGCAGCGCGCGTGGCCTGTGCGCCGCGGTGGCCAGGAGGCCTGGGTGCCCCGCGCGGACCTGTCCTGCGGCTGCCTGCGCCTGCGCCCCGGTGCCGACTACCTGCTGCTGGGCAGTGCTGCGGACGACAGCGACCCTGCACGCCTCATCCTGGACCGCCACGGCCTGGCGCTGCCCTGGCGGCCACACTGGGCCCGGCCGCTGCGGCGGTTACAACAGAAGGAGCGCGGTGGTGCCTGCCGCTCCCGCACCAAGCCTGGGGCGCAGCCGCTGAACTGAGCCTGACACCCCGCGCCCCGCACCCCGCGCCCCGCACTCAGCCTTCGCCCTCCGCGTGCGTGCGCGCTGCTGCGGAGCCAATCAGAAGCTGCGGCGCGTGTGACACCGGCCCGATCGCACGTGCTTCTGCCATGTGAGCGACTTTTAGCAAAAGGCAGAAAGGCGCAGGCAGGCCTTTGGGGCCCGGGCGTTATTCCGTCCGTTGGTCAGTGAGCCTAAAGGTCATTTGTCACAATAAAGCCTCGTGTCCTGTGGGACTATGTCTACAGAGCTATTTTGGGAGAGGCTTTAGGGAGCGAATGAAGAAGGCCTTGAGTACATTTGCCAAGCTCAAGTTCTAAGTAAGTTACCCGAGAAAGTGGCCAGCGCACTTGGAAAGGACGCCAGTGGAGTTACTGGGTGCTGCTTAGATTTGTGTTGCTTGGTGATTAACCAAAAAAGGCTAGGTATGACCGGGAAAGGCAAGAAATGTGACAAATTTATATACCCAGAATTTAGATACTTCAGTATTCGGATGGGCCTCAAGATAGTCTCTGCGGGGGTGGGGGTGGGGACCGCTGAATGTCACCTGGTCTTGAATTACCGTGTAGAGCCATGGTGGCCCGCGCCTCAGTACTTAGGAGGAGCAGGAGTCCAAGGATTATCTAACAAGTGCTGTTTAAAGGTAAAACCGATTTATCTACACGAAGGGTTTGGAAAAGGCCTGGCCCAGAACAGGCACGCTATGCCTTTACTGTTATTTGAATACCCAGAGGCCTCCTGGGCTCAATGGGCGGGCCTGGCTGGGATCTCAAAGTAGTGTGCTTTGAAGCCAGAGAGTTAAGGAAGTTCACAGGGTGAGAACCCTTGGAGCCCGGGCAGCCATGGCTGTGTCACCTCCCACCCAGGAGCCTGGATGTGGGAGATGAAAGCGCACAGCAGGGCGAGCCTTCTGTGTTCCTAGTGACTCAAACTTTGTTTCTAGCAGCCGGAACAAATTGGTGTGAAATTCACATCTGTGCCACTCACGGACCAGGCCCTTCCCACCCCTCCCCAGCCCTGCCAGTCTGTCTGTGCACCGTAACGGAGGTGGCACAGGTGGCCACCAGACCTCAGAGGCCCCGTCTACCGCGCGGCATAGCCAGCTGACTGCACTGAGGGGGCAGGGACTGTCCTGAATCTGGCTTTGTTCTATTAGGAATTGCCCTAGAAGAAAGGAGAGAAAGGCAGCTACAAATGAAGGGGAAAGTCTCTGTAAAGATGCAGAAACTGGCCTGGGGTTGTAGCTCAACTCAGAGTGCTTGCCTAGCATGCTCGAGACTCTCTCTGTAAACCAGGTGTGTAGAAAATGCCTATCAAAGAGTTACCAAGTGGGAAGATGAGAAATTCATTCGCAGCTACATAATGAATTAAAGGCCAGCCTGGGCTACGCGAGACCCTGTCTCAAAAACAACGGCAAAATTCCAGAGGTTAAAGGCATGACACAAAGAGATTCCAAGCCAGGTATGGTGCACACCTGTAATCTCAGCACTTGGAAGACTGAGGCAGGGTGAGCTGGGGCTGGAATTTGAGGCCACCCTGGACTATACAGTGAGGCTTTGTCTAAGAAACTATTTTTTTCACTATAAACTATATGGCTTAAGAAAACAAGCATTAGCCCGGTGGTGGTGGTACCCTCCTTTAACCCCAGCACTTGGGAGACAGAGGCAGATGACTCTCTGAGTTCAAGGCCAGCCTGGTCTACAGAGTGAGTTTCGGGTCAGTCAGGGCTACACAGAAAAATCCTGTCTCAAAAAAAAAAAAAAAAAAAAAAAAAAGAAAGAAAGAAAGAAAGAAACAGGTATTATTTGCAGATCTCTGTGAGTTGAGTTCAAGGCCAGCCTGGTCTACAAAGCAAGTTCCAGGACAGCCAGGGCTGTTACACAGTGAAAACCTGTCTTGAAAAATCAAAACCTAAAAAACAATAAAAACAGGCATTTGTTGTCCTGCATTCTAGAGTTAATTTTTTGTTTTGTTGTTTTGGTTTTTCTTTTTTTTAATATTTTGTTTATTTGTTTATCTTTTAAATTTATTTATTTATTATATATACAGTGTTCTGGCATGTAGATGGCTGTGAGCCACCATGTGGTTGCTGGGAATTGAACTCATGACCTCTGGAAGAGCAGCCAGTGCTCTTAACCTCCGAGCCATCTCTCCAGCCCATGTTTTGGTTTTTTAAGACGGGATTCTCGCGGTAGTCCTGGCTGTCCTGGAACTAGTTCTGTAGACCAGGCTGGACTGAAACTCAAAGATCTTCCTGCCTCTGCCTCCTGAGTGCTAGAATTAAAGGCATGTGCCACACCGCCATATTCTAGACTTTAAAATTGAAAGTCAGGGTATTGGTAGGGCCATACTAGAAGGTGTTAGAGAAGGTCATCTCTTCCTCTTCCAGACTCTGGGGCCACCTGTGACCCTGGGCTTGTGGCCATGTAATTCTTGTCTCTGCCTGTGTCTCCATGGGCTTCTGTCCCTACTCGCTCTGTCTTGGCTGTTAAGGGTACTTGTTCTTTGATGTAAGTCCACCGTAATAATGAAGTGTGACATCTCAGATAATACTTAGGCAGTGTAGGACTGCCCTCCCAGCCACGTGGAACACTGAGGCCCCCATGAGCTACATAGTGAGAAACCGTCTCAAAAGAGAAAAGTTACAAAAGGGCTGGAGATGTACCTTATCTATAGAATGCTAGTCTAGAATCCCCTATTCAGGGTCTGGGTGGCCAGCAGTAGATCACCTGCCTAAGATCCTGCAGTGAGGGGCCGCTGGTGTGGCTCAGCTGCAGAGTGCTTACCTAGCATACATAAAGCCGTGGGTTCGGTCCTCAATGATGGGGAAAACAAAGCAACAACTTAATCGCACAAACCAAGACCCCTTTGTCCACTAAGGGCCACTCCTAGGTTCCAGGGTATGTTGTTTTAGCAGCAGAATGAACACTAGTCAGTCCACTAAGGTAGGTGTCACCCTCTCCGGCTCCTCACTCCACCTGTGAAATGGGGGCTGATGCTGACCCCAGGCTGTGGGCAGCTGCAAGGCGGACAGAAGCCGAAACGCTGGTATGCTTTCTCGGCTTGCTCTCCACGCCCTGCCCTGTTCTGTTCTGCTCTGTGAGACATGGCCCAGGTGGTCTCCAACAAGGACTTTCCCAACTCACCAGGTCTACCTACCTGCCTCGCTCTGTCTTCAAGTCATTTGGTCTGTGACTGGGCCCTCTCCTCCGCTTCACTATCTGCCCTTTGGCTTTGCTTTCTGACTCCAGGCCTGTTTCTGTTTCTCTGCCCTTGTATACTTGGTGCCTTTATGAATCTTTGGATCTCCATCCTTTATTTTTGTGTGTTTCTATTCTGTCCCTTAGCGTCTGTCTGTCTCACCACGCGCATCCGTTAGACTGTGTGTCCTTCTTGTCTGCTCCCCCAGCTCCTTAATCCCATGGATGGGTCTCCCTGCTTCTGTCTCTAATGCATTTCTTTTCCTTCTTTTTCTTTTTTGTTTGTTTAGTTTTTGTTTTTCAAGACAGGGTTTCTCTGTTTAGCCCTGGCTGTCCTGGAACTCACTCTGCAGACCAGGCTGGCCTCAAACTCAGAGCGTTGAGACTAAAAGCATGCACCTGTCCCCGCCTCTTTCCACCTCTGTGAGCTGATCATCCTTGGTCTCTGTGGGCTGTTCGTTATATAGACGAGGGCTTACTATGTAACGTAGGATGGCTTTAACGCCTCGGCCTCCTGAACCACCATGCCTGGTCTATGTGTTTGTGTGTCTGTCTCCTTTCCTGTGGCCTGGCATCATGTTTGTCAGTGCCCGAGACCATGTCTCTCTGTCTCCCTCTCTCTTTCTGCATGGCATCTTGCTCGTTCTTTCTCTAAGCATGTCTTTCTCTGTCTCTGACTCTAATGTATCTCGGTACTTGCCTCTCCTTCCCCGCCCTGGTTCTGACATGAGGTCTCTCTGTGTCTATTTCTCTGTCTCTCCCTCCTACCTGCATCTTGCCCCCCCCCCCCCCCCCCCGCCTCCTCACTTCCCAGCACCCTGCCCCTCCTCCCCAGCCACCGCTGGGCTCCGATCTCCTCTTCACCCTCCAGTCCCCCAAGCCTCTGCTTCCCCCTCCCGGCCAACGGTCTTTCTGCACTCCAGGTCCCCAGTGCCCAGTCCATTCTGGCCTCGGCACCTAGAGGAGGGTCCTCGGGCTCTCTCGGCTGCACTGCACCTCCCTCCCCAGGGCTGGGCCCAGGGGTGCGGCTCTTTCTATTGCAGAGCCCCCCCCCCAGCCAAGCATCAGACCGGTGGGAGCTAGCGGGCGGGGAAGAGGGAAGCAGGACCAGAGGTGATGGGGGTGGGGGTAGGGAGGGAGCGAGGAGAGGAGGAGGAGATGGAAAGAGGGAGAGGCTGTACGGAGCGAGGGAGGAGGTGAGATTGAAGGGAAGGCAGTGTGGCGCGGGGCGGAGGAGGACGGAGGGAAGAAGAGAAGGCCCGGTGAGGGAGGAGGTGGAGGGAGGGGAGTGCACGCGGCGAGAGCGCGGCTGGGTCCGCTGGATGAGAGCGGAGAGGGGGTGTGCATCGGCACCGACAGGGACCCGGGGCCGGCGGGGCCGATCGCAGCTCTGGGAGATAGAGCGAGAAAAGGGCGCGGGCCCAGGCGGGCGGAGGGGTGCGCTCCAAACGGGCACTGGGGTGCGCGGTCCCAGCCCCTACATCTCGGGAGCTAGGGCTCCCGTGCTGGGGAGAGCCAGGCTGGAAGTCCCAGGAGGAGGGGAGGGAAGAGGTAGGGGGCCGGGCGCTGGGAAAGGGTCGCTCCGAGGCCTCTTGGATGGGGGGTGCGGCTCGTCTGAGCGCCCCTCAAGCGCTGGTACTCTGGGCCGCACTGGGAGCGGCAGGTAAGACCTGGGGGTCCGGGCAGCAGCCCCGAGGGAGGAGCGGGGTGGGGTGCCTAGGAAAGGGATGCAGGCTGCTCTCTTCCCAGCTCACATCGGACCTGCACCTGATCCCGAGGACTGGTGGAGCTACAAGGAGAATCTCCAGGGAAACTTCGTGCCAGGTGCAAACAGGGTGGAGACCCGGAGCCCGACCCCTTGTTCCCCCCCGACCCCCGTTTTCCCCACACTCCAGACCCTGGGTCCTCGGTCCTGTTACCTTACACAGGACCGATGCTCCCAGCCCCTGCTTTCTTCCCCCAAGAGTAGGACCCAGCCTCTGAACCTCAGCGGCTCACCATGGGACATTATACATGCGCATTTCAAGTAGTGAGTGGGAGTGAGTGCAAGGAAAGAGAAGCGTGGGGGTGGAGAGATGTACGCGTTTGCAGCCAGACACAGGTTCTATTCCTGCTGAAAGGCACAGGCTCGGTAGCTCAAGTCCCTGCCCCGCCCCCTCACCCTGGCCTTCAAAGCCCCGTTCTGCAACTCTTCTTCCTTAATACTCTCAAAATCCAGCTGTGGGACCTGGGAGGACTAAAAGAACTACAAATCCCATGGGGCTATGGGGCAGACAGGAGATGGATTAGTTAGTTTCATCTCTGAAGCCTATTGGGGGTTGTAGTTCTGTTTTTGCTTAGACTTAAGATGGGAACAGTACAGGGAAGGCTTGGAGGCGTTAGGAGCTTCTAGGAAAGGATGCTAAAATTCTTCTAGGAATTAGGATTCTGCCTCTTATGTGTGTCTCTCTTAGCTTCAGACGAGTTATCCATATCCCAAGACCAACATGGCAGGTCCTGCCTGGTCCAGTCTATTTGTGTCCCCACAGGACCTCCCTTCTGGGGCCTGGTGAACGCAGCCTGGAGTCTGTGCGCTGTGGGGAAGCGGCAGAGCCCCGTGGATGTGGAGCTGAAGCGGGTTCTTTATGACCCCTTTCTGCCCCCGCTCAGGCTCAGCACCGGGGGAGAAAAGGTAAGGAGCGATGCAGTAAGGGAGACCTGTGCGGAAGTGGGCGGTGAGCTGTGGGGAACAAAAGGCACCAGCTGGGGGGAGAGAAGGCTCGTTGCTCTGAAGATTACCTGTTCTTCCCTTTCCCACCGTTCCCTCCGCTCCCCAGGTTGGCCCCATTAATGAAAACAGAAAATGTAACCCATGCCAAGCGTTTGAAAGGGCTTCACAAACAGCCCTCTTTGCAATAACCTACACAATAGGTGATATTTTATCCCCTTAGTTAATAGTGTCACTATTTTGTGGACTGAACGGGAGGCACAGAGATAAAGGCACTTGCCTGGGGTCACACAGTCAAGGCAGGTGGTATGGTCCCAGTGTCCCATTTCTTTAGAAGAGCTGGCACCGTGAGCCAAAAGCCTCAGAGTCATCTCCCAGTCAGGCCCGCTGTCCCTCGGGTCTGCTTTCACTCTAGGCGTAGGGAGAACACCATTTCCTCCCTTTCCATGACTGTCCCCTCCCCATTGCCCACCCTTACCCAGTCCTCCTGCCTGCCTGGCCTTCAGCTCTATATCCTGAAATACATTGTCAAACTAAAGCCCCCCTGTGGAGCACACATCTCCGCTACACAGGAGGCAGAGGCAGGCGGAGCTCTGTGAGTTCGAGGTCAGCCAGAGCGGTTATATAGAGAAATTCTGTCTCAAAAGCAAACAAAAAACAAAAACTAAAATAAACACCAACCAAACCAAACCAACTAACCAAACAACCAACCAAAGATTCACTCTATAGCCCTTTCTGGACTTGAACTCACGGCAATCCTCCTGCCTCGGCTTCCTTAGGGCTGGGATTACAAGCCTGAAACAGCCCTCCTGGTCTGGTACTCGTTAACTGAATGCATTCATCTGTTGACTATCTGCAGAATACATGGTCTGAGCCTGGGGAACAGCTTATGCCTAGTCTATATTAAATACTTGTTGGACTTGGGTTGCACGGGTGGAGGATGGGCAGGAGCCATCTCTGTGTCCCCAGTAACTTCCACGTCTCCTGCAGCTCCGGGGAACCTTGTACAACACTGGCCGCCACGTCTCCTTCCTGCCCGCGCCCCGCCCTGTTGTCAATGTGTCTGGGGGTCCTCTTCTTTATAGCCACCGACTCAGCGAACTTCGGTTGTTGTTTGGAGCTCGAGATGGGGCTGGCTCCGAACACCAGATCAACCACCAGGGTTTCTCTGCTGAGGTGTGGCCTCTAACCTACGACCCTCATACTAGATCATCCTGTTTTCATAGCTTAATGCGTCACCCCATCCTCCTACCCGGGGCTACCTCTCCCCACCTAAGTACTGATCCCTAATGCAATTCTGGGTCAAAGGCCCGAGAGCTGCAAGCATTACCTCTTCCCCTTCTGCTAAGGACCCCTTCTCTGTGCGACCCCCCCCCCACTCCCCAGGTGCAGCTAATCCACTTCAACCAAGAACTCTACGGGAATCTCAGTGCTGCCTCAAGAGGCCCCAATGGCCTGGCCATCCTCAGCCTCTTTGTCAATGTGAGGGAGGCAAGATGGGCAACTGGCTTCCAGGGAGGGGGGAACAAGGAAGGCTGGGAGGCTAGGCTCCTTATTCTGGGGCGGCGGGCCCTTGGGGAGCCCTGGGCTGCTGTCTCCTCGCCTCATGCCCCCTGCATAGGTGGCCGGCAGTTCCAACCCATTCCTCAGTCGCCTCCTCAACCGGGATACCATCACCAGAATCTCCTACAAGAGTAAGTCCCCAAGGTTGGGGTGGAATCCCAGCTACTAGGGAAGCAGAGAAAGGAGGGTAACAAGGCTGGTCTGGGCGGCAGAGTGTGTCCAAGGCCAGTCTGTGCTACTTTGCACGATCCAGTGTCACAAGGCGAAAGGAGCGGCTGGTGACAGCTTGGTGGCAGAGCTCAGGGGCTGAGGGCTTGGCTGTGGTACCTGCCTGGCCTACCCGAAGCCGTAGGTTCACTCTCCATAGTGCAACAAAAAGAACTAACTCCCCATGCACTGCTGTCCACATGCAGGGAGGGCGGGTTCCCGGGGGACGCCCTTTCACACCCGCTCGATACCCTCACAGATGACGCCTACTTTCTTCAAGACCTGAGCCTGGAGCTCCTGTTCCCAGAGTCCTTCGGCTTCATCACCTATCAGGGCTCTCTCAGCACCCCTCCGTGCTCTGAGACTGTCACCTGGATCCTCATCGACAGGACTCTCAATGTCACCTCCCTCCAGGTGACCTCCACATGCATGCGGCCCCGCCCTAAGTACTGCCTCCCTGGTCCCAACCAACCTTCCCACTCCCTTTTCTCTTGAGGCAGATGCACTCCCTGAGACTCCTGAGCCAGAATCCCCCCTCCCAGATCTTCCAGAGCCTCAGTGGTAATGGCCGGCCCCTGCAGCCCTTGGCCCATAGAGCCTTAAGAGGCAACAGGGACCCCCGGCACCCGGAGAGGCGCTGTCGAGGCCCCAACTACCGCCTGCATGGTATGCTTAATGTGGACTGTCCTCCAGGCCTCCATACAATCTGCACTTACTCCTAGTGGAGTCCCTCACCCCTCACCCCTCAGGGCAGCTTAGTGTGAGACCTGACACCCTCTGTTTTCCTTCCAGTACAATTACATACTGGTTTGTGCCTACTGTCACTTCCCAAGACGGTATTTACTGTCCAAGGCATCTGTTTACAAGTGCCATGACCCTACTTATGGCCATAGTCTTGTCTAACCCCTTTCTCAAAATCGACATGGTACAATCCCTCTGTCTTCCTTACTGCCCCGGAAATCTTCGCAACAGAGTACATGGTACAGTCCAGATTCCCACTTCCTCTTCAAGTACTCCAACCTTTATGCAGACCAGCCCAATCTGCACATCCCATCTGACCTTCTTCCCTGCCTCTGTAGTCTGCGAAGCTGACTATTTTCCCCAACTTGGTATATCCCAGCCCTCATTAGCAGCCAGACTGTGGTAGAGCCTTATGCGCTCAACCTCCCTACCACAAGCCGGCACCTTCTTTTGCAGTGGATGGTGGTCCTCATGGTCGCTGAGACCCTCCTACGAGGATTACTCCCGCCTGTCCTGAGCTTCCTCACTTGGGAAGGGGAGTCACCCTAAAACAAAGCTATTAAAGGGACTGAATGTTTCCAGCTTCTCCGTGGTTTGATTCTCAGTCGCGATTGAGTATTAAAAATTAAATCCTTCCTGAAGCCCATTCCTTTCTGCCTTAACATTCTCTAACTGGTGTTCTGCGTTTCTCCTCAAGCAATGAGCCGGTGAACAGGCTGCTCCTTTAAGATGCATCCCTCCTGCAGAATCCGGCTGCACGCGCAGGGCCATGTGCTTCCCCCTTCCTCCTGCTTCATTGGCTCGAAATGGGTCACGGTCCCGCCCCCAGTGCCTCTTTTCATTGGCCAAATGTAGGTCAGTGTCCCGCCTTCTTCCAAAAGGAGAGGCAACTTCACAAGCTCAACCCCTCACGCGCCTCCAGGGTCTTGGCAGATCCCGTCACCTCATTGGCTGAGCGTCTCAAGGGTTCGAGAACTGATTGGCCCCTGCTTGAAGCCGGAGGGAGGCACGCGGCTGGGATGCATGGCCCAAGAGGAGGAGGGGGCCCGGAGGAGGGGCACGCGCTCTGGCTTCGGGTGTTTTGGTTTGGATTTTTTTTTCCGCGAAATAAGTTTGCTTTGGCCACGCCTCAAGGCTGTCGCCGCCTCCTCCCCCTCCTCCGCCCCTGAGCGCACACCTCTGGGTGCAGACTGCAAAGCTCCTTTCCTTGCGAGAAGTGCAAAATTTTCGAGAGCCAGAGGCTCGCCCACCTGGTACAGAAGGAGCGCGCGCCTGTGTCTCTTGGGGCCCCTCAGTTGCGAAGAGACAGCTGCTTGTCACCCACTTGCCCAGACTGTAGGATCCTCCCGGGACACTCTTTGAGTTGGAGATTTCTGCAGAGAGGACTGGCTGACCCCCGCAGAGCTCTTAGGATTTTCAGCGGTCTGATACTGGAGGCTTGCACGCTGCGCTCTCTCGACCCTGGGACACACTCGCTCGAACCACAGCAGTGTGCAGGTGACCGGCATATCCTCTCTCCGACTCTCCATAAGCTCATGAACCTGGGAGCAGGTGTCCGGCGATGGCGCGGCCTCTAAGCGACAGGACCCCGGGCCCCCTGCTGTTGGGAGGCCCGGCCGGGGCCCCCCCTGGCGGGGGAGCGCTGCTTGGGCTGCGGAGCCTTCTGCAGGGGACCAGCAAGCCCAAAGAGCCGGCCAGCTGTGAGTTCTAGTCCCACTGTCTTAAGGACTCTAATGGGGTGGTGGTCGGTGGCATCTACGTGATAGGTGCTCCATCTTTGGCAGTCCTCATTCGGTCATTCAGGTGTTTAGCCATCTAAGTCTCTCGCCGTCCATGGCCAAATCTGACATCTGGAAGGCCCAAGGGTGAAGTCCCCAGAGTCTTCCGCCATTAGGACTCACTCTGTGCCAGCCCCCTCTTTCTTCCCTTTAGTCTGGGAGTCTGGACCCCTGGGGAAGGGAGGGGGTGTGTCGGATGCTCACACGGTGCTGACACGGGCTTGGGCGGGGCCTCCCACGGTCACGTGGAAAGTAGAGACGAGGAATGTGCCTGAGCAGTGGCGCCCCTTCCTGCCCCTAACATTGTGGGGGAGGGGACGAGAGGGCCGGGGGTGGGGGGGTTACTGAGCTGTCACTCTCTCTCTCACCTGCCCAACCTTTAACCCACCCTGTCTGTACATCCCCCTTCCTAAACTTCCGCCCTTTTCCTCTGGGCTTTGGGTCTTTATCTCTATTCCTCTGGATACTTTCTCCTTTCCTCTCTCTGGGTCTCTGTTGTCCGGTCCCTCTCCCCTCTCCCCTTCCTGGGCTCCTGTCTCCCCACCTGTCCCACCTCTCCGGGTCTTTGCATCTCCCGCGTCCTCTGCATCTCCGCCATGCGGGTCTCATCTATGCGTCATCTCTGACTTGGGGTCCCTCCTGTGTGTCTCCACCCCACCCCGTCTCTCCCTGGCCCACAGGTCTCCTAAAGGAAAAGGAGCGGAAGGCGGCTCTGCCCTCAGCTCCCATCCCGGGACCGGGCCTGGAAACGGCTGGCCCAGCCGATGCCCCGACGGGGGCGGTTGGTGGCGGTGGGTCCCCGCGGGGGCGCTCAGGGCCGGCGGCTGGCCCGAGTCTTTTTGCGCCGCTGCTGTGGGAACGCACTTTGCCTTTCGGCGACGTGGAGTACGTGGACCTGGACGCCTTCCTGCTGGAGCACGGGCTCCCGCCGAGCCCGCCGCCCCCCGGGGGCCTGTCGCCGGCACCCTCTCCGGCTCGCACGCCCGCGCCTTCCCCGGGGCCCGGCTCCTGCGGCTCCTCTTCCCCCCGCTCCTCGCCGGGGCACGCCCCCGCCCGGGCTCCTCTGGGAGCCGCCGGTGGCCACCGCGCAGGTGCGGCGAAGGGGCGGGGCTGGCGGGCAGGGGAGGGGCTTCGCGACGCTTTGGGAAGTCTGCCCAATGAGATGCGGCTATCGGCTGGGCGGGGGGACCTGGGCCCCCCGCTGCGAGGCTCGTCCAGTGAGAGGCTGTACTTTTCTTACGGAAAAAAGTGGCCTCGTGTTCCTGGAGTCAGGGCTAGTCACTCAGAACACCTCAGTTACCTGGGGAGCGGACGGACTCCAAGTCTGTGTCCAGAATTTTGGGAAACGAGATAGGACTGGACTTCAAGGACATGTAACATGGGAGCAGTCCAGAGCTGGGCACTAGATTCCCGGATCCCCCCCCCCCCGCCCCGGTGGAGGATGTGGCACCCTGGCTCCCAGCGTCTTTTAGAGAATGCCGGGGTCCCGATTCTGTGTTGTCCAGAGGGAACTCCCCATATTCCAGCGACGGGGACCTAGTTTCAGAGTTGTGGGAGACCCGATGGCAAAGGGCGTGTCAGGCCGGTTCTCCCATAACCCCATAAACGCGGAGTGGGTGGGAAGGATCCTTGGAGTTGTTGGAGCTGAGACCAAAGGAACAGAGGGGAGGCGACCCCTATCAAGACAAGGAGTCTCGTTGTGGGACGCTTGGGTACACCTGTCCCTGATCCGACCTCCAGGCAAAACCAGTGCTGCACATTCCCGCGCCACGTGAGTCCTCCCTCCCTGCTGCGCGCACGCGCTCTCACGCGCGAGGAGGCGGGGCCCGGGAACGTGAGGGTGCGTGGTGGGGGGAGGGGGGAAGCAGTCGGACACACGTGATGCAGCCCTGAACCCTTGTCCTCGGCTGGCCCCGGCTTGTCTGTTCTTAAAGACACAGGCATCATCCATTTTTAGACAAGCGCCTGGAACCTCAGAGCAGCTTCTGCTTTTCCATCACTCTTAGGAGTGTGTCTAACAGTTTAAAACTCTGAGCGTACAGAAGATTCAGTAAGTAGGACTCAGACAAGAGAGTGTTAACAAAATTAATACCGATTCTGAAGTTTTGAGGTTTTAGAAGCTATTAGCGGACTCACGGGACATTTAAGTCCAGCCGAATCGCTTTCATGGTGGCTAAGGGTTGTTGACTGACAGGCAGAAAAGACTGCCTGCCTGCCCTGTGGTGAATGAGATGGAGGGGGCCTGAGGTATTCAAGTGATGCGTATTTCCCCAGGCTTGACCTCTAGGGACACACCCAGTCCTGTGGACCCAGACACCGTGGAGGTGCTAATGACCTTTGAACCTGATCCAGCTGATCTTGCCCTGTCAAGCATTCCAGGACATGAGACTTTTGATCCTCGGAGACACCGCTTCTCAGAGGAGGAACTGAAGCCTCAGCCAATCATGAAAAAGGCAAGGAAAGTCCAAGTGCCCGAGGAACAGAAGGTGAGCATGACCAGATGTGGGCGTGGCCTTGATCAGGAACTGCCTCCGCCCACAGCTGTGGGCAGCCTCTCTTTGGGATGAGATCTCAGAGTCTCGAGGCCTATAGACATACCCCAGTTCATGAGACTCCTGGGGAAGGCTTTATCCTGAGTCACAAAGATGGGGCCATTGTGGATTCCAGTCATTTGGACCTAGAGCCCCCTGTGGAGCAGGGCTCAAGTTCCAAGAGGCTCTGCTGCCAATTACAGCGTTCTTTAATGCCCTATCAGCCCCCTTTTTCAGCAGCTGGCCTAGCTGGAGTTGACTTTCAACCCAAAACACCCATAGGACTGCCTCTGCCTGGGGTGCAGACATTGTCATCCTTTACCACCATGTCCTGGTTTGTGGGAGTTTCGGCAGCAAATGCATGCTTCTAGTATTCTGTATTTGCTGTTATTGGGGTCTCTGCTAGTGAAGAAGAGATAATTAGGCTTCTCTCATGTCTTACCATGGCCTTGTATTATCATAGCCATTTCAGCATCTAGTTCCATCAGTCTATACCAGTGGCTTTTCCTGCTACAGAGCTCAGCTGTTGCTAGGGAATGAATGTGTCCTGGCAAGCTGGAACCTTTAATTAAGAGGAAGCTGAGGGAAGTATCTTTCCCAGATGGATGGAGGTCCCATGGCCCTGGAAGGAGGAAGGGGGTAGGGCAGACAGCCCCCTGACCTCAGTCCAAGGGCAGAAGGAGACTGGATAGGATCATTGGGTCTACTTACAGCTTGTGTGTACTTGCCGAGATGAGGTTGTCTTGGCAACCAGGACACCAAACCCCATCACTAAGGAGGTGGGGGGGGGGGCTATCCAAGCTTTCCTTAGCAACCAGGATCTGGAAAGGTGATGTCTAGGGCAGTATGCTCTTCAATGGGATAAGCCCTCAGACCCTGAAGTCCTTGTTGCTAGGTAGCAGACATCCATAGCAACCAGCTTTCGCTTGGTCCTTAAGTGGGGAGGCCTGCTCTGCACAGTGGAGAATTTGAAGACCAGCTTTTTTTTTTTTTATACGGGTACCTGCGGTCTGTCTCGTGATTTAGCTTTCTGCTAGGGACCTGTTCTTAGCAACCAGCAGTCCTTTGGGTACCCTGTCCCAGCAAAGACGAGTAGCCCTTAGGCCTCCCTGCTGTGCAGCAGCAGCCACGTGATCAGGGATGTTTGGGGGAGTGTTTGCACACCTGGCGCTTGCCCCTTGGTTGGACCTCAGTGCTTTTCCACCCCCAGGATGAGAAGTATTGGAGCCGCAGGTACAAGAACAATGAGGCCGCCAAGAGGTCTCGAGATGCACGAAGACTCAAGGAGAATCAGATATCGGTGCGGGCAGCCTTCCTGGAGAAGGAGAATGCCCTGTTGCGGCAGGAGGTGGTGGCTGTACGGCAAGAGCTGTCCCACTACCGCGCTGTGCTCTCACGGTACCAGGCCCAGCACGGGACGCTGTGAGGCCACGCCAGCCTGCCTGGTCAGAGCCCTGTTCCTTCCGCAGACTTGCACCTGACACTCTTCCTCCCTCTTCCGTCTGGCCAGCGAGGTGCCCCAGGGACGTGATGATACAAATACATTTATATTTTTAAGAAAAAGCTGACCTTCCCCCACCTCCCTTGCGGGGGGTGGGGAGGGTCCTGTGTGTGCTGTTAGCACTTCGGGGAACCTACCCGCCCAACCGCCTCCGTCAACACAATCCTGAATAAATCTTGAGAACCCAGGAGCCAGCTGTTGTGGGGGACAAAGCAGCTACTGGTTCTGAGCCAAAGTCAGCGGCAGCTCAAGTTGAGTGCGGCTATTGCGATCCTTAGAGGGCAGGAGTAATTGGAAAGGCCGTTAGACGGAAGGGGCGAAGAAGAAAGCGACGCCTTTATTGCATAGACCTTTTCAATTGCTTTTTAGACCAGGGACACACACGACGTGAGGAGTGAATTTCTCCACCCCCCACCGGCAAGGGGCGGACCATTAGTGCAAATCCTGGGGACCGCCTGGGGGAACCTGCCCCTCATGGGCTGATTGGCCAGTCAAGTGGAGGCACCGAAGGAGGCAAGAAGAAATCCTGGCTGGCCAATGAGCTGAGGCCTTGCTAGCTCATACATTCCAGGCCCCGTCATTGGGCAGCAAGGAAGGCAGGCCCCACCCTCAGCCGCTAGGCCCTCTGGGACTCGAGGGCCAACACCAATTTCCACTCTTGCTAGTCTGAGTTCCGGTCCTACTTCTACCTATAAAAGCCAGGCCATATCCTATGGTGATCTGGTCGCACCACCTCGGCATGTTTCAGGCTTGTTTAGGGTCACGGCTTCTGACCTGCAGGCCCAGTGAGTAGCTTGGCGAGGCTGGGATGCACCTGCGCCTGCATTGGCCCGTACTCCACTAACTCCCCATCCACAGTGAGCACGCCACGAGATGTGAGTGGCTCGAGGCGAAAGGCACGAGCTGTAGCATAGCCCAGGTGAGGGCAGCCCAGGCTGAAGTGGTTCCCATGCTCCATGGCCAGCAAAATGCGTAGCAGCGCAGCCCGTGAGATGCCGCTGCGCACCCAGCACAGGTGCACCACGCCATCGTCAAATCGAGCATGAGGGGCAGCCACCAGGTCTGCACAGAGGTGGCTGGGCAAGATGGCCAACATGAGTACAAACTCGCCTTCTATCGTCACCCAGTCTGGGGGCAGTGGAGAGCCCAGGGGAGGGAGCAGGTGGTCAGCTGGGCCCCAGGCAGAGACTTTTGGAGCACTGGAGCTGGAAGGCGGGGCCCCCGAGGTTGTTGGCATTTCCGGGGGCCCCTCAGTGATGGGTGAAAGCTGAGCGGTTTTGGGAGACCGAGGGGGTGAGCGCAGCAGTGGATCTGGGGACAGAGGTGCATCCCCAGCTCCCCCCCAGTCTCCAGTCAGCTCTGGACCGCTACCGTTGAGAGAAAGGCCAGGTAGGGGTTCAGGGGACCCAGGGGAGGCCAAGGCAGGTTGGGGCAGGGGCAGGGGCAGATCAGACACTGAGCGATGAAGGGGCGAGTGGGTGGCGGCTGGGGCTGGGGCTGGGGCCAAAGCTAGTTCTGACTTGGCTCGAGGCAGGCTGTGACCCGGAATGGGCAGGACTGGCTCTGTGGTAGCAGGGAGGTAGGAGAGCCGTCCACGGTAGGTATGCAATGTGGCCAGGCCCAGTGCCGCACCCAGGGTGAACCTAGCGCTGCCCAGGGCCCTGAAACGCTCGCTGTGGATGTCTACATCTGATAAGAATCCCCAGGCCACTGACAGGAAGGAAAAACAGCGGGATCCTGAGGCTAGTGTGACGGAGAGCAGGTCCAGAGGCTGGCTGCCACCGCGGCAGAGGAGCAGCGAGCAGTTGAGCAGCAGATCAACACCGACAGCCGGCTCGAACCTTCACAGCCAGAGACGGGTGTCACAGAGGAAACGGAGGGCAGGGCGAGACACGGCAGGGAGAAAGGCTGGGGTGAGCAGCAATGCCACCGGGGGACATGTCCCCGAGTTCTCCATAAGCACCCTAAAAGGCTTTCTGCGGGACGGCCACAGAGCTAGCTATTGGCTAAAGGGAAGAGGGGTGAGGGTAACAAAATATCACGAGACCCTGTAGTCCCAAAGACTCATCCCTCTCTTTAGCAGGTAACCCTGTTGCCTCAGCGAAAGCTGTCAACGTACCCGCCATAGTGGTTAACTGCCCCAGCTAGTGCATTGCCGGAACCGCAGGGGAGGACCCCAATGGGCATCCGCACGGCATCTTCCCAATCTGGCCGATCGAGGAGCCCGTTCAGCACCTGCAGATGGGATAGGTCTGCCTGGGTCCTCGCCACCCTCTCTGTTCCCCCCAGGGCAGGGTTAGGGTATGTGGCTCTACCTCAAAAAGCAGCCCATCTCCGGAGACAGTGACAATGCCCTCCCACTCACTTAGGCTCAGGCCCTGCACCAGCTCACGAGCATGGTTCTGTCGTTCTAAGCAGACAAATAAAAAGGTTAGCCAAGAAGCCTCCTCATCCTGCCTCACCCCTCCAGAGGATTCCCTCCCCACCGTACGCCAGCAGCCCCTACCTGTCTGTATGAGGTTAAAGGATAGCCCAGCTTCGGAGATCATGGGTACCACATGATCCATACATCGCTGCCAGGCCAGGCCCCGCCCCCCAAAAGGATTAACCAGGATGAGCAGCCTGGGCCTCCGCGGCAGCAGTTCAGGGGTGATTTCTGGAGGAGACGAGAGACGGGGAGAGAAAAGGGCTGAATCTTCCAGAGGCCAGAGACCTCTTGGTAAAGGGGCCCCAAGAAGACTTGACAAGTAAGGTCAGGTCCCCAGGGACGGCTGGGAGTTCCTTTCTGGCACCTGGCCCGTGGGGGCAGCCCAGGTCTTAAGTGCTGACAATGAGGGCTGGCTGTGAAAGCAAGTGTGTGCCCTTTGAACCCGTAAGTGGCAGGGCAGGAAGTTAGCCAGCACCAGGCTCCTGCGCTGTCACCGTCCCCAAGCAGCTCCGAGGCCGGGGGAGGGGAAGGAGGGCTCGGCAAGAAGTGGGGGCCCGGGTGAGGGAACTCTGCTCCAAGGCCTGCCCCCTGTGTACGGTGGGACTCCAGGCCCCCTCTGTGCTGCCTGAAGACCCAGTGGGGTACCGACCACACGCCTGGGAGCCCGTGACTCAACGTGTCCCTCATCTGTTGTCCGTGGAGGGACAGACAATATAGCCAAGAGCAGAGGCCCAGAAAGACACAAGATACAAACACACACAAAGGGACAGAGGCGCCTATGTGTGTGGCCCAGGCGAGGCGGCTCACCCTGGTCTCCAGACAGAGGCACCCCTCGAAGGAGACACGTGAGGGCAGTTGCCCAGCGCTGGGCCTCTGCACGATTCTCCTCGTAAGTGGCCGCACCATCAGCCCGGAAGGTGCGAGTAGCTCTGCGCCGGCCTCCACGCCGGCCCCGTGGGTAGGTGTAGATGCAGAAGTAGGCTGCGGTGTCTGAGGGGCTCCGGCTTTGCAGAGTGCCACAGCCTGAGACCTCTGCCAGAGGGACTAGGCCATCTCGGGGCCGGGCTTCAGGCTTCGGGCGCAACCGCTGTATGTGCAGGGCTTGCAATGTGAGGGTTAGGGCAAACCGTGGGCCATGAGCTGGGTAGGAACCGAACTCGCCATGCAGGACTGGGGTACTGGAGGCCAATGGTAGTAGTGGCGGTGGAGCCATGGCCTAGCCTTCCTAGATCCTCGGCTTGTGGTCAGCTCCTGCTCCAGCCTCTGTGGGGAGGGAGGAAGATAATGGTCAGAATCCTAGGTCCTCGTGGTAGGTGGGGAGGAGGGGGCCTGTGAAAATGAGACAGAGTGTGGGAAGGGAATACCACGTACAGGAGAGCATGGAGAGACCCCATGATGCAGGGCAGGAAGGCCAGGATCCAGGCATGAAAGTATTTTACTTTCAGATAATTATTCAGGACTCTGTGTGCAACAACCAGTTGAAGTCCCTGACAGGCAGGCATGGTAGTGCACACAAGCCACACTAGGGAGTCAGAGGCACAAGTTTGAGGCCAGCCAGGGATACCTTGTTTCAGAAACAACTAAACCCACAAAGAAACAACAAAAACCCACGCTAATCATAAGAAAAAAAGAAGAATTGGGTGGTGGTGGCCCATGCCTTTAATCCTAGCACTGGGGAGGCAGAAGCAGGTGGATCTCTGAAATTGAGGCCAGCCTGGTCTACAGAGTGAGTTCCAGGGCAGCCAGAGAAAGCCCCACCCCCACCAAAAAAAAAAAAAAAGAAAGTGGCCAAAGCATAAGATACATCATGTACTGGGTGATGGCATGGGCTTGAGACCCAAAAGGGAAACTGGATGATAGAGACAGAAAAAAAAAAAAAAAAAAAAGGCTGAGACAGAAAGACACTGCCCCTCCCACACACTGAGTCACTGCTAGGTAGCGAGGGGAGGACCGTGTAGACACAGGCACAGAGAAGAAAGAGAAGGCTCTGGAAAATAGAAACAGAGGAGACAACAGCCAGCACAGGCCAATAAGATACTTAGAAGTTTCTCACCCCAGGGAAGAAAGCAACAGACAGCAGAGAGCGGACAGGACACACAGAGCAGTCAGAGGTGAGCCACATGGGAGTGTCCGCCAGCCGGTTTGTCAGGAAGCACTAACCTGGCTGGCTGGCCCGCCGGCCGCCTTCTTTTTGAGAAGAGGGTGGGAGTCAGGGCTGAGTCTCTTATGTCCTGCAGAAGGTCCAACCTCTTAACTGCTCACCTTTGGTCTTTCCCAGTCGCCCGCCTGCCCTGTCACCTTTCCGGGCTCACAGCAGCCTGGGACACGCCCCCATGGATACTGTCCCCGCGGGATCTGCCTCTGCCCGCTGGCTGCCCTGGGCTACTCCCTTAACGCTGTTATCTATCCCAACCTCAAACCCCCCTCACATCAGACACTAGCACAGAGTCCTATACATGCTCCATTCTGGGTTGCGTCTCGGTCTCCCGGGACTCCAGATCTGGGCCTCCATCCACAGGTTCCCGGCCCTCGGCTCAGCCTGTCCCTGGTGCGTTCCCCTACTCTAGGGCCGCAACGCAGCCTCGAGTCTGGGTCTCTGTCCCGGGCGTGGACCTGGTTTTCCGTTTCCAGATCCCACCAAGTGTTCCGCACCCGGATCTGAGTGTCCGCCCCTCTAGGGTCACCCCGAACCCTACAACCTGCGCGCACGCCGCGTCCTCCCGGCCGCCCCTCCAGAGTCTGCTCTACCGCCCCCATCAGATCTAGGGGTGGGGGGAAGGGTGTGCGTCCGCCCAGCCAATGCCTGCGCAGCCAGTCTGAGCCGCACCAATGAGAGGGCGGGGAGGCGGGGCCATCCGCTTCCGGAACTACGCGACGGGACCTGACCGGCCGAGTGAGGAAACCGGGAGGGGCTTTGGCGGAGCAAAGAGGCCCCATCATAAGTGAGGGCACACACACAGCAGAGGTAAGGACGTGGTCCGAGGCAAAGCTTAACTCGCCATCTTTGTTAAGGTCAAAACGGCCTGTCCCAACAGAGTTTAAAAAAAAGGAGCGTGGGGGAGGAGTTCTTCCATTGCAGAGACCAACTCTCTCTAACGTCAGCAACAGGGAGTCTGAGCAAAGCAGAGAGTAACAAAGAAATGAAAACATTGAAGCTGACGTTGGTGTGGTGGCAGGGTACCCTGTACGTAATTCTAGCGCTTACGCGGCCGAGGCAGAAGCATCAGTAAGAGAAGGTCCACTTTTGCTGCACGGATGTGACAGTTATGTGACACCTTGTGTCAAACAACGTAACAAACAGACCCCAGAAAATGAACAACATAGGTGGAGACAGTTCTTGAATGCTACCCAGGATGGGCAAGCTCATTAATTTTGTAAAAAACTGTTTACCTTGGACTCTAGCCGTAGAGGAGGCAGAATGCGATTAACATCTGCCCAGGAAACCACCACGTGACAAGACAGAATCCCAGAGAGGCGTGGGGACAAAAGCTTTGGAATGAAAACAAAGAGCAAAGCAAGTGGGCAGCAGGAGATAGGCAAAACTTGAGACAGCACGTGTGTGTGAGTGTATGTGTGAGTGTATGTGTGTGTATGTGTGTGAGTGTGTGTGTGTATGGTGAATATGTATGTGTGTGTGTATCTGTGAGTGTATGTGTATGTGGTGTGTGTATGTGTGAGTGTATGTGTGTGTATGTGTGAGTGTGTATGTGTGTATGTGTGAGTGTATGTGTGTGTGTATGGTGAATATGTGTGAGTGTATGTGTGTGTATGTGTGTATGGTGAATATGTGCGTGTGTGAGTGTATGTGTGTGTGTGTATATATGTGTTTGAGTGTATGTGTGTGTGTGAGTGTATGTGTGTGGTGTGTGTGTGTATGTGTGAGTGTATGTGTGTGTATATATGTGTTTGAGTGTATGTGTGTGTGTGTGAGTGTATGTGTGTGTGTTCCAGTCCAATGCACCTCCCGCATGCAGGGCACAGCATTCTTATATACTAAGCAGGTACAAAACTTCATAGAAAGAAGATTAAGTAGAGAAGGTAGTTTGCTTATTGCCAAGCAAATGCACATTGCATCCAATGCACAGCAGCAACAGCCCCAGATAACATGCCAGGGAATGAGGCCCTCAGTAAAGTGGGGACCTTGGCAGAGGAAGGGAGCAAGAAAGGGGAAGTGCTAGCTCGCCAGCCACGTGATCTCACCCTGAATAGCGCAGCTGATTTGTGTGTCTGTGGGAGAAAAGGACTACTCACCCTGACCCAGGGGACTGAGGCCAAGGGCAGAAGGGCCTCGGCAGATGCTCTCACCCATGGTATGACAACCTGAGACTCTAGTACAGAGGTTCTCAACCTTCCTAATGCTATGTACCCTTTAATACAGTTGCTCGTGGCATGGTGACCCCCCCACACACGCCATAAAATTATTTTTCTTGCTACTTCATAACGAATTCTGCTACTGTTAGGAACCTGATATGCATCTGTTGCATCTGATATACAACCCCTGTGAAAGTCATGTGACCCACATGTTGAGAACTATGGCTCTACATAGAGCCTTACCTGTCCCACTCCCCCTTGGGTTCAGGACATCCTGTGGGCAGCCAGACTTCTGCTCTGTCAACCATCACAGCACAGGAGGCTGTATAGGGGGTGTCTGGGTAAAAAGTTCTTACTCACTGTGCAGTCCCAGGCTGGGACTCTGGAGAGGAGGTGCACGTTGCAGGCTGAGGGTCCCAGAACCAACATCTCCCATGCAGCTAACCCATCTTTCCCTACCCAAGTTCAGGTAACAGATTCTACCTACCACTATGTACTAAGTGTTGACCGAACATGTTTACAGACCTACACAGCCGGGCAAGATAACCCTGTTAAGGTTACTATCACTGCTTTTCCAAACAAGGAAAAAAACATAGGAAGTGACTTACCCAAGGTCACCATTTTAAGTAGCAGAGCCAGGTGTCAAAAGACTGTAATCCCAGCTACTTGGGAGGCTGAGGCAGAAAGATTGACTCAGAGCCAAGCTGGGCAACTTCGTGAAACCCTAACTTAAAACAAACAAACAAACAAACCAAAAAAGCAGATCTGGCACCCGAAATAGCCTGCATTCTGGCTAGGTGGCAATTTTCCTATCTCTCTCCTTCTGCCGGGGGTCCCTTGCCTTTTTTCCTTCTCACCCTCAGGCCTCCACCCCACCCCGCCCCTCCACGCCATGGTCTCTATTTCATTCTCTCCGGGGTTAGCCGCTCCTCAAGAGCTTGTCATCCATCCCCATTTCCCCCCAGATCCGATCCAGGCTGAGGGCTCCGTGTGCCTTCTCTGAACATCAATACTTTGTACATCGAAAATGATGGACCAGTTCAAACTGTCTGGCCGAGCAAAACAGCGGCTCTCTGAGGAAGGCGACTTAGGAGAGACTGGGGACGAGGCCATCTAAGAGCAGGGGGAAAGCCGAACCCAAAATATTGGGGAGGGGGTACTATAGGTTAAACTGCGGTACGGAAGTCTCAGATTAGAACTCTTGTGGGGCTTCCTGAACTTTTGCTGCGCCTAGTAAATTGAGCATAAGGAAAAGGCAGCGGCGGATTCGCGGAATGCCGGACGGGTGCGACAAGCTGCTTCTTCAGGCCGGGACAAGCCTCACCTCCACCACACAGCCCACCGGGTCCTCCGGGAGCCACCGAGACGCAGTCGGCGTGCGGCCAGAGAGTCACCGCGAGATTCCTCCTGCTAACTCCAAGCATATCTCTCGCTCTCAGGCCCTTTACCCGTGAAGAATAGGGAGAACAGGGACCGGGAAAGGACAGAGAGGCTCTCTGCCTGCCGGCAAGTCTCCCCGGTGTCGCATTGGTTTCCCTTTGCTGGCTCTGTGGACCGCTGTGCTCGGGCCTCCAATTTACCATAGAGAACCCCAGATTGCGGTAGAGCGCCGCGTCGCGCCCGTGTGACGTCACCAAGACCCCACCGAGACGCGCAGGGCAGGGTAGAGCGCCCCGTGACGCGTCCTGCGCGCGCCTCGCCCAGAGCCCTTTCCCCGCCCACCCCGGCGCGGCTCTGTCTTTCCGGACCTGGCCGTGCAGGAGGCGCCATCATGGTGAGCGAGCCTGGCGGCGGCCGTGGCCGTCCCATCCGCTGCCATCCTCAGCGGGGCCGGGTCGCAGCGCGTCGGAGCGGCGCGGGCGGGCGGGCGCGGATGGTGCCCAGGGAGCCTGGGGACTAGACAGGGGCCTCCGGCCGGGACGAGCCGCCGCCGGCAGCCGGCAGCGGGCGACCGGCCCTAGGCGCCCCCGGACACTCGCTTGCTCGGCGAAGTTTGGCTCTGCAGACCCCGGCAGCTCTCAGCGAATGCGTCCTGGCCCCGAACGCAGCGGCCGTGCCGTTGCCTCGACCTCGTGAGCGCTCGCATTGCAGCCAGCATCCCGACACCCGGCTGCCTTAGCTTGAACTTGGCGAGTTGGGGTCCTGCGGAGAGTGGCCCCCCATCCCCGGGGTTGCGGCGCGGGGGGCGTTGGCTCGCCTCTCCGGGCTTACCGGGACAGTGCCTGCCCCAGTGCCTTTTTTTGGGCGGAAGCGTGTCTAGTAATCCCGTCCACGTCTTGTGAGTTGGGGAGAGATACATGAAGCTGCAGGGTAAACGGCGCTGTTAGCTTTTCACTGATGCTAACAGCTTGAAAATGAGTGGGGATAAAATAACCAAAGTGTCTGGCCTTCCTGGGACTGTTCGAAATGGATGGTGTAAGAGTTTCACTTGGTCGTACATAAGAGATACTCCCGTGGCTAGAACCTACTGTTGGCTCCTTCTGGCTGCTTTCCAGATTTGCTGTCCTGAGAAGTGACATTCTTGGAAAGACGTGACCCCCCCCCCCAAATACCTGGTATAGAATGCAGGGTCTTTTGCTCTAAGGTAGACTGAGCTAGCTGGGTATCTTGTACGTCTTAGTTTTTATTCTGAGACAGGATTTTACTGTGTTTCGGGATTATGGGAATAATGGTGCCAGGCCCAGACAAAAATATTACCTGTGTGTGTAGAGTGAGTTTGTGATGAGTGGGAAATGTCAGGTAACAGCATCCTCCCCTCCAGATTTAATCCTGCTGTCCTTTGGGGATTGTTTGTTTGTCCTGGCTATAGTAATTCCAGACCCTTTTCTGTTTCCCCTTACTATTGTGAACCACTAGCCAGGCGAAATTTGAATTTTTAAATAGAGTGCTGTTGCTGAGGGGCTTGGTGGGCCTGGGATTTTGATTGTCAGCTGAATAGCCTGAAGGATGAGTAACAATTTTGGTGTAAAGATACAAGGTAGCCAGGCGGTGAGGTCCCACACCTTTATTCCTAGCACTTAGGAGGCAGAGGCAGGCAGATCTCTTGGGTTGAGGACAGCCAGGGCTACAAAGAGGGGTGGGTATAGGGCAACTGTTCAAGTTAGAAATTGGCTCCAAAAGGGAGAAGGAACTGGGATCGATATGTGAATTAGAAAAGTATTTTAAAAAGTCAATTTAGAAACCTTATTTTTTTTACATATCAATCCCCCATTCCTTCCCCCTTCCGTGGGGGATCATCGGGGTCTGTCATTTGGGGAAGGGTCTAAGCCCTCTGAATCTGGGCTGAAATGGAGCATGGTTTCTGAATGAATTGTGCAAGGCCTCCGGCCCTTGCCTGCCGATTCACCCTTTGGTCTAAGAACTGCAGACCAAATGTTCTCTAAGTCAGTCCCTTCACCTCCCACAGGGTGTAGACATTCGACATAACAAAGACCGAAAAGTTCGGCGCAAGGAGCCCAAGAGCCAAGACATCTATCTGCGGCTGCTCGTCAAGGTGAGCCACGGCCTCCACAGTGAGTAGGGCCGGGAGGCCAGCAAGGCGGGAGAGCTGTGGGGGCTTCCTAGCCTGGGAGGGGTTCTCTGGGAGTCACGTGATCACGCTTTCCTTCCTTTCAGCTGTACAGGTTTCTGGCCAGAAGAACCAACTCCACCTTCAATCAGGTTGTGCTGAAAAGGTTGTTTATGAGTCGCACTAACCGGCCACCTCTGTCCCTGTCCCGGATGGTTAGTACCTGGGCTGGGCGGAGGAACTGGGTCTGGAGTGGGTGCTTGGCCCTGGGTTGTGAGGCCAGCAGGGCTCTGGGCTTTGATGTGCTTTTCCGCCTGGGGACTTCTGGCTTGGTTGGTGGCTGGGGTTAGAGAGGAGGGGCTTCCAAAGTTCTTTGCCTATGTTTAAGTACAGGATGCAGGTAAAGGTGTCAGCTCTCAGACCTCTGGCAAAGCCTGCAGAGACTTGTCGTTGTCGGGGGAGGTGGCTTTTGGCAGTCTTGGCTAATTTGGTCTCGGTGTGATGGGTGTGAATGCAAAATATTAACCTGTCTCACTCCTCCTAGATCCGAAAGATGAAGCTTCCTGGACGAGAGAACAAGACAGCTGTGGTTGTGGGGACAGTCACAGACGATGTGCGCATTCTCGAAGTGCCCAAGCTGAAGGTAAGCGACCAGCGTGACCCCACACTCCAGCTTTGCTGTGTGCCAGTGGCACCCTTGCTTGCCGCCATTGAGGATGTGTGACAGTCCTCACCACCCCTGGCATCTGTCTGCCCCTTAGGTGTGTGCACTGAGGGTGAGCAGCCGGGCCCGAAGTCGCATCCTGAAGGCTGGGGGTAAGATCCTCACCTTTGACCAGCTAGCCCTGGAGTCTCCCAAGGGCCGAGGCACTGTGCTCTTATCCGGTGAGTGAGGGCTGCATGGAAGCACCTAGGCTTGGGGACACTCCCTGTGGTCACAGCGCCTGGTCTCTACTTAACCTCTTTCTCTCTGGCCAGGACCTCGCAAGGGCCGGGAGGTGTACCGGCATTTTGGCAAGGCCCCAGGAACCCCACACAGCCATACCAAGTGAGTATCACCAGGCTTTGTCCCCTGGTGGCGGGTGGCCCCGTGAAAGGTCTCCTTTACATAGCCCACGGGAGATCTCCAGCACTGTGATCCGGGCTTCTCTCACTCGCGTTTCCCCCCACAGACCGTATGTCCGTTCCAAGGGCCGGAAGTTCGAACGTGCCAGAGGCAGAAGGGCCAGCCGTGGCTACAAAAACTAACCCTGGATCTGTTATTAAAGAAACTTTGGATGTTGATGGCCTGTGTGTTCATGAATTGGGATGGGGCAGGGTGGGCTGAGAGCCACCAGTGGTGGCAGAGAGATTGAATTGCAGCCGCTGTAAACCCATCTCTGGGAAGAGGAGGGGCTAGTGTGTCCTTTGCCTGTGATTAGAGCCCCACCCCACCCACCTATGCTGGGTGTCCGGTGTCTACTTCCTCCTAGGATTAGTCTTTCCCAGGATCTAGACACTGGGGGTGTGGGGAGGGCGTGGGAACAGCTCTGGAAGCTGGTGTGACAATAGCCATTCCCTGAGCTTGGTGCCTGGTAGGCCCTCCCCCTGCGTTTGCTCAAGGGGCTGTGCCCCAAGTCCAACGGCCCAGTTGGGTGGAGGGCCCCGGAAGAGCTGCTCATGTGAATGTGAAAGGGCCAGCTTCTAAGCTGGGACTCAGACCCAGGGGTCCACGCATGGGGAGACCTGGCCACATCCAATTCTTCCTGTGGGCTTTGAGGTGCCAGTTGGCTGACCAGCTCCAGGCTCAAGAGGTACATGGGGTAGACGAGGGTGGTTCCTGTCCAGGAAGTAGGGTGTAGCCAGGAGACCTTGGGACTGGTAGATACCAGGCTAAGCTACGATCAGAGGACAAGGCAGCATGTCTACCTAAGGCTCAGGTGGATCTTAGGGTCACAGCAGAGATATTTCCATTACCTGAGCCTGGAAGGAGGCTGGCAAGTGCCTGGGGGGAGGACCATGGCTTCCTTGGGTCCCCAAGGCAGGCCTAACTGGGAGGTGTCTCATTAGCCCTTGGAGCCGGTGGGCAGGGAAGTAGAGTAGACTCGATTATCTGCCCTGCTGCAGCCAAAGTGGCCTTGGAGCCATTCATTCTAGGCAGTAGGACACCAGGGACAGGCAAACAGCTATTTCCCTGGAAATAATTGGGCAAGTAGCAGGACTGAGGGTAGGCAGGTCATCCGGACAGGCCTGAAGCTGCCAAGGGCCACCTAAAGGCCACTGTGGCTCCGAGTTGGAGGTGGTCCTGTGGTCGGCAGAGGCATCCCTTCAATGCACCACAGCGGTAGAGGCGTCTACTGGGACCTGGTGATCAGATAGATGGTGTAAGGGGGTTATAGGGTTTGTGAGTCAGGGACAGCTTCAAGGAACTGTAGATGTTCACAGGGCTACCCTGGGGGCCCTGGCTGGCCACACAGTATCACAGACCCCAGATGGTCAGACCCCGAAAGTTGTCCAGACCTTCCAGGACCGGGCCTCTTAAGGCACTGTGGCTCCAATGGCGGCTTCCCAGCTGGCTGCACTGGAAGGAGAGGGATTGGAGGCTGGTGAGACAGCCCTGACCAAGGCCAGCTCTGGCTTCTTGTACTCTGAGGGCCAGCGGCTAGCTCTTGAAGCATTGCTGAGCAGTGGGGAAGAGGCCTTCAGGACCTGCGTGCAGCAGGAGAGGTTGCCCCCATTTCTGAGTGCAGATGAGGCTCAGGCCCTGGCTGCAGCTGCTGAAGACTGGACAGTCCCAAGCCAGGAGCCATGTGGAGCAGGCACTGCTGCCACCGATGGGAATACTGGCAGCCTAACCTACTGGCCTGGGCAGTCTGAGGAACCGGCACCCGTGCTGCGGCTAGGCTGGCCTGAGGATACTGCCTGGAAGGGTATCACCCGAGCTCAGCTCTACACCCAGCCACCAGGCGAGGGTCAGCCATCTATTAAAGAGTTGGTACATCAGGAGATCCAGGCTGCTCACAAGGTGAGTGTAAACCCCATCACCAGTACCTAGGCTTTCTCCCACACCCTCCTGCAATTTGCAAGGCTATAGCCATGCTCCCCTGGTCTGTGGACCTTGAGCCCAGGATCTATCCCTTTCCCTTCAGACCTGGAACCCTCTGAGACCGGGTGTCAGTGCTCCTGGAGCCGAGTTGTGACTGCTTATGTCAGTCCCTTTGATAGTAAACTAGAGACTCCTAGTTTCCTCCAGGAAATTCCTGGGTGTGGGTCCCCATTCTGTGGCTCCTGAAGCCCCATTCCTTAGGTAGCAGTCCTGGGGTTTCCCTGGTCCAAGTGATCTACATGGGTGTGGATGTACAGCCTTCCAAGACAGAGGGCACCGGGAATCAGGCTCGGTTTGCTTTAAGCTCTTGGTAGTGACGTTGCTGATGACTCATCCCACTCAGCCTTGTCTGCCTGCAAGGCTGAGCTCTCAGCCCACCTTCCTGACCACCAGCACCCAGTCCTGACCTGGAGCTGTGGCGTGGACATTGTAAGGGACAACCTGTAAACAACCAGGGATGGAAAACTCTTCGGTTGGCTCACACTCCATGCAGGGGAGAGTAGATGAGGCTGTCTCCCTGCAGCCCCTGGGTAACCCATGGAGCCTGTACTGCCAGCTACCCATCCCTTGCCTACCACTTTACCCGCCCTAGCTGGTGGCCATAGTCATGGATGTCTTCACCGACCCTGACCTGCTCACAGACATGGTGGACGCCGCCACACGTCGATGGGTACCTGTCTATTTACTGCTCGACCTCCAGCATCTGCCTGCCTTCTTGGCACTAGCCCAGCAGCTGGGGGTGAACCCCTGGACCACTGAGGTAGGGGCCAGGCCAGAGGCTTCTCAATGCCCCTATCCCTCAGAGGGGGCCTTTTCCATAGGTTCCTAGGTCACTGGGATTCTCTAAGATCTGAAACCCACGTCACTGGGGAGGGGTGGCTGTCCTAAAGGGACCCTTGCGCCAGCCTAGGTAGTGTACCGCCAGATCTAAGGCTTAGTATTCGTGGCCCTACGGATGCTTGGACAGTATCCGTGGGATCATGGGACACGCTCTTTCTAGAACCTGGACATCCGGACTGTGCAGGGCCACACCTTCCAGACGCGCAGGCGACGGCAGGTGAGCGGCCGTGTGCGGGAGAAGTTCCTGCTGCTGGACGGTGACAGGGTCATCTCGGGATCCTACAGGTGTGTCCCCTCATGACACCCTGTACCCAACCCTCCCTTAACATGCTGATGATGGGGAGGGGTTGCGGGAGGAGCACCCTTTTCTGGGCAGAGTGCTCCTTGCTCATCTCTAAAATGGGCCCAATGCTCTTCCTGGAGAGGGGCCCTGCCCTGCCACAGACAACTCTCAGAGCTCTCTGCTTTTGCTGAGTGGCCTGAAATGACTCTCTCTAGCCTTGTGAACCCCAGCTTGGGAAACTGAGGCATGGACTGTGGATGCCAGATGGCCTGGGTTCAGATCCTAACCCTGCAAGCTACTAGCTGTGTGACTTCAGGCAACAACTCCCTTCTCTGTGCCTCAGTTTCCTCCCTTCAGAATGCAGTGACAGGGGCCCCTTCCATGTGCATACTGGACCTCAGCCCGGCCTCCACCCGGCAGATGCCAGTGGTGTCCCTTACCCCATTTCTCAGCATGACAATCACAGAATGCTCCAGACATGGCCGGGCGCCCCAGGGTAGGAGGTGCTGTCCAGGAGGGTAAGGAAGGCCTCATCACTTGCTGAAATACAGCTGCCTGTGACCACCTGGCCACCGGTGGGGACATACATTTCTGGAAAGTTCCCACTTTGAGCTGACGCTGCTGATCCTGTTCACCTTTTGAGACCCTCCAGCCCTGAAACCACGATGCTTTGGAGCGTCACTACCATCTTGGCTTTGCCAGAGGGCAGAGCAGAGCCCGGCACATGGCCTAAGTGCGTCAGAGCCGGATGTGGTAGCAGCAACTGAAAGAAGGAAGGCCACTGAGATCAAGGCCAACCTCAGCCACGGGAAGAATCTGAGGCCACCCCGGGACACAGGACAGCCTGCCTCCAAAAGCATCCCTGCCCCACCAAAAAAAGTGCTCTGAAACCCATCTGGTATTACTGGTTTTTACCGTACTTCACGAACTCTAAGGTGACGCTAACACAAAGAAGAACCCTGAGAAAAACGGAAAGATGTGCGTCTTAGGGCCAGTCGGGCACAGCAAAGCAGCGAGCGTCACAGGCCGCACCCCACACGATGGCATGCCAGGGGCTTTGCCAGCCTGGCTCCCATGGGCCCTGGAACGGAGGAAGCCAGGGCCACAGGAGGTAGACTGCACCTCTGGCCATTTAATGGGGGGGAGGGGTGGAGGCGGGGGCAAAGGGCACAGCCCCAGGCCCTGCAGTTTCTGTGGGTCACAGCCAGTATGGAAGCAGCAGCAACAGGGCCAGGAGCAGCTGCAGCCCCAGGGCCAGGCTGGCAGGCCCTGTGGCAGAGCCAGCACCCCCATTGCAAAGGTGGCCAGAGCAGCAGCTGGTGGTGAGGCTGTAAGTGAGGCCCATGTAGCTGACCGGTTCCTCACGGCCACAGCTGGTGGCGTGCACACAACCTTTGCTGATGATGGGCCCCACGCCCTGGGCCACTCCATGGCCTATGAAGCAATCCTCATCGTCCCCACAGCGCATGTATGTGCCCGGGCACTGAGTGGAATCAGTCAGCTCACAGAAGACACAGTCCTTGATGCCTGTCGCACCCGGGCACAGGACCAACACCAGAAGCAGTAGCCAGCCAAGGACCATGGTGGCCTGGCGGCGTGGAGAGCACCCAAGCCAGACCGCGGGCTCCTGTGACCTCCTGGATGGCACCTCCTGCCCCTCGTCCTGGCCTCGGGGGTCAGCACTTGGAGTGGTCCTGGTTCCCAATCAAAGTGTCCCTCTCAGGAGCTCTTGAGTCCTTGGGTTGGAGACGGGCCAGCACCCCTGCCCACAAGCCTTTGGGCCATGGAACTCAGTGACTTCACAGACCCTCAGGGTTCCCTGACCGCTGTGGGTGGGGGAGGGGCCATAGCCTGTCCCACCACAGGCTGAAGGGACCAGAACTGTCACCTGCCGAGGTAAGGACACTCGAAGACCCCTCACATAATGCTCACCCACTCCACTCGTGCTGTTACGGGCTCTGCCTGCATGGGGCAGTCTCGTTCTACCATGGCCCACTGAAGCCATGGTGGGGTGCTCAGGCCCATGGATCTGAGTGAGGGAAGCCTCGACTGTGTCAAGTGTTCACGTTAGCACTGGAGGCCCTAAAGCCACAGCCAAGTGAAGGGTGAGGGCGGTGCAGGCGCCATCTTTATCCCCACGGGGCGCTTGCTCTGTGTGGCGGATATGCCACCTGGATCCCGGTGGACAGTGCACATGCTCAGGAAATGCAGCTTTTCGGGAAGCATCTGAAATGGCCCTGTGGGCATTAGAAGGCCACCACCATCTCGCGATAAAGAAACTGAGGTGTTTGCCAGGCGGTGGTGGCGCACGCCTTTAATCCCAGCACTGGGGAGGCAGAGGCAGGCGGGTCTCTGCGAGTTCCAGGACAGCCAGAGCTACACAGAGAACCCTGTCTTCAAAGGAAAAAAAGAAAAGGAACGGGAACCCCACTGAGATGTCCCTCAGTGGGACGGGGCAGAGCCCATGCTGAAGGCCATCTGCTGTCACACGATCAGCAGAAGGGTTTCCTGCTTCCTTTGGTTTTGGTTTTTGATGGTCTCACATAGCTCAGGCTTTTCCGGAACTGGTAGTGAACCCTGACCTTCCTGCCTCAGCCCCCAAGAGCTGGGATCACAGCTGCTATTACCATGTCCAGCTTGATGATCTCACCTCATGGTGTCCCCTGGGTGCCTGTGACAAGCAGTAGGGTAGGTACTTCTTGTCCTACTCACCAGAGGAGCTGGCACCCGTTAGAGCATGACTTAAGGTCACAGGGGCTGGGGACCAGGGTGGGTGCCACCCTGCACAGATCCTGACTGCCACTCTACATCCCTAGCTTCACGTGGAGTGACTCACGCCTGCACCGGGGCCTGGTGACCTTGCTCACAGGGGAAATTGCGGACGCCTTTAGCCAGGAGTTCCGCGTGCTGTATGCAGCCTCCAGGCCGCTTCCGCCAGCACCGGCTCGAAGCCCCTTGTTCAGCCCTTCCGAGGGTCCGCAGCTGCCCCGAAGCCCACACCGTGTGGCCTTGCGCTGTCCTGTGGCCCCTGTGGCTCCGTTGCTGTCTGACAAGCCTTTGGCCCACCGCCTGGCCGCCTGTCACATCCTTGAAGGGGACAGACGGGAGACCCGCCCCACCACAGGGTCAGCTCTCAGTGACATCTTGAGGAGTGTACAGCGTGCGAGGACAGCCAGTGGTCCCCCAACCAGGCCCAGCCGTTCCCTATGGGACCTCAGCTGCCTGTCCCAGCTCTCTGGCTCCAGTGATGGTGACAATGAGGTGAGCCCCACCCCCCAAGACCTGACGCTTACAGGGAAACAGAGAGGGGGGAGGCCCTGCTTGAACACTGAACCCCAAAGCAGGAAACACATGTTCTGTCCTTGAAAGGGTCTTACAGCCCAGGCTGGCCCTGACATTCTCTTGTCCCCAATTTCCATGTCCGGGCTGGACAGGTGTGCACCACCATGGCGAAGTAAGTGGGTTAAACTTAACCTACCCATTTCACAGATTGGGAGACTGAGGCCCCTGAAAGGGGTTGGAACTCAGCTCTGTCTCCCAGGGAGACTTCCTAGATCGGAGTGTCCCTGGAGTATTGGGGGAGAGAAGGGGTCAGGGGCACTGAGAATCCCCCTTCATCTGTATGTGCAGAGTGGGGGTCCACTCCAGCTGCTTGGATAGCCCTGGGCTAGAAGTGGTTTTGCCTCTGAGCCTCAGTTTCTCTCACTGTGAGACGAGTTGTATGAGAAGTCGCAGGGCCGTGTGAGGAGACAAACAGTCTCCCCCAGAATGCAGGCAAGTGGGATTATGTCCCTCAGGGAGCTAACCCCCCCCCCCCGCCTGGTCTCCCTGGTAACTAGCTCGGAATCAGATCTGTCAGTGGGCTAGAGCCAAAGGGAGTGGGGCAGGTCAAGGTCCTTGCCTCGCCTCCACCGAGGTCCCCTCCCTGGGCAAATATTTGTTCCCCTAGATGGCCACAGCTGCTTCCTGTCCTCCAGATACAAGGCAAGAGGAGAGGTTTCCCCGTGGGTCTGGGGTCCCTTGTCTCCACGTATCTCCCTGTGGGCCCCGGATCTTCACTCCCCTCTCTTCCTCTTATGTGTGCTGTGTGTGTGCGCGCGTGTGCATGCGTGTGTGCTGTGTGTGTGCGCGCATGTGCATGCGTGTGTGCTGTGTGCGTGTGTGCTCTGTGTGTGTGTGTTCTAGTGTGCAGGTGTGCTCTGTGTGTGTGTGTGTGTGTGCTCTGTGTGCTCTGTGTGTGTGTGCTCCGTGTGTGTGCGTGCGCGTGTGCGTGCGCGTGTGCTGTGTGTGTGTGCGCGTGTGCATGCCTGTGCTGTGTGTGTGTGCATGTGCTCTGTGTGTGTGTTCTAGTGTGCAGGTGTGCTCTGTGTGTGTGTGTGTGCTCTGTGTGTGTGTGCTGTGTGTGTGTGCTGTGTGTGTGTGTGCGTGTGCATGCGTGTGTGCTGTGTGTGTGTGCTCTGTGTGTTCTAGTGTGCAGGTGCTCTGTGTGTGTGTGTGCTGTGTGTGCTCTGTGTGTGCTGTGTGTGCTCTGTGTGTGTACTGTGTGTGTGCTGTGTGTGTGCGCGTGTGCTCTGTGTGTGCTCTGTGTGTGTGTGCTCTGTGTGTGTGTGTGCTCTGTGTGTGTGTGCTTTGTGTGTATGTGTATGCTCTGTGTGTGTATGTGCTCTGTGTGTGTATGTGCTCTGTGTGTGTGCTGTGTGTGTTCTCTGTGTGTGTGTGTTCTGTGTGTGTGCTCTGTGTGTGTGTGTTCTGTGTGTGTGTGCTCTGTGTGTGTATGTGCTGTGTGTGTATGTGCTGTGTGTGTGTGCTCTGTGTGTGTGTGCTTTGTGTGTATGTGTATGCTCTGTGTGTGTGTGTGTGCTCTGTGTGTGTGTGCTCTGTGTGTGTTCTCTGTGTGTGTGTGCTCTGTGTGTATGTGCTCTGTGTGTGTGTGTGTATGCTCTGTGTGTGTGTGTGTGTGCGTGTGCTCTGTGTGTGTGTGTTCTCTGTGTGTGTGCGCTGTGTTGTGTGCTCTATGTGTGTGTGCTTTGTGTGTATGTGTATGCTCTGTGTGTGTGTGCTCTGTGTGTGTGTGTGTGCTGTGTGTGTGTGCGTGTGCTCTGTGTGTGTGTGCTCTGTGTGTGTGTGTGCTCTGTGTGTGTGTGCTGTGTGTATGTGTATGCTCTGTGTGTGTGTGTGTGCTCTGTGTGTGTGCTTTGTGTGTATGTGTATGCTCTGTGTGTGCTTTGTGTGTATGTGTATGCTCTGTGTGTGTGTGTGTGTGTGCTCTGTGTGTGTGTGTTCGCTCTGTGTGTGTGTGTGTGTGTGTGTGCTCTGTGTGTGTGCTTTGTGTGTATGTGTATGCTCTGTGTGTGCTTTGTGTGTATGTGTATGCTCTGTGTGTGTGTGTGTGTGTGCTCTGTGTGTGTGTGTTCGCTCTGTGTGTGTGTGTGTGTGTGTGTGTGTGTGTGTGTGTATGCTCTGTGTGTGTGTGCTCTGTGTGCCTGTTGAGGCCAGATGTTGATGCTGGAGGTCTTTCTCTGTCCCTCTCCGCACTATTTTTAACACAGTGTCTCGCTGCACAGATGGACTGGTGGGCCCAGGACCCTGGGGTCACTCGCCTGCCTTCTAGTGCTGAGCTACATGCTTAACTGGCAGTGCCGGCGTTTACGGGAGAGCTGGGGGACCCAAACCCAGGGCCTCATGGTTCCACAGCAAGCATTTATCTACTGAGCCACCTCTCAGCCTCTTGTTCCTTATTGAGACAGGGTTTCACAGGATCACGCTGGCCTTGAGCCCATCACGGCTGCTTTACATGTACTGATACCAAAGCCAAGCCTGTGCATGCTAGGCTAGCACGCCACCCTCTGAGCCCCAGCAACTGCTCACTTTTTTTCTTTTTCCCTTCACAGCTCAAGAAGTCCTGGGTCTCCAAGGACACCCCAGCCAGGGCCCTGATGAGGCAGCGAGGCACTGGAGGGGGGTCCAGGGGTGAGATGGATTCCCACCCACCAGCTCGGTCCCAGCCCTGGGGTGGCCCCTTCCATGCCATTCCAGCCCGCCGCCTGCATTATCTATCCCCAGCCCAAAGGAGGCTGGGAGACAATGCCACATCTGACTGGGCCTCTGGCCCTGGAAGGCGACGCTGATTGGGAGTTCTGGCCAGATGTGGCTGGGCAGCTGAGGGTCAGCTCAGAGCCCCTGTCAAACACCGGCTGTGTCTGAGGCCTCTGGCTGGAATCTGGGCAATGGAAGAGATTGGTCTTAATTGCTCTAGAATTGGGTGAGCTCAGGAGAGCTAAGGACTCAGTGTCACCATCTGGGAAATGGGCAGAAGTTTCCAGATAGGGCTGCTTCAGAGACGGGCTCAGCTGCCCATCCATAGACTGGGGGTAACCCAGAGAAGCCCCCCACCCACGTGCGGCAGCAGGTACAGTGAGCCCAGGAGGGGGCGCTCACTATGATGGAGGGGAAGGGGAGGGCCAAGGCTGATTTTTGTGAGAACGCTTCCCTCTACTTCTCCTCACATTAAACTCTGACAACACAGACAGACATTTATCTCCATGGCTTTCCCAACCCAACCCCCTGACACTAGAACCCAGACCAGACCACAGCGCCTCTGTAGACCTCCTCCAGACCCAGGGCTCCCTCCCACCTCCCCCGCCCTCCCTCGGGTCAGGGGTCAGGCTCCCTTTTGCACTCACGCTCAGGGTGGGCCTCCCCACCCGCCAAGCAAAGGGCGAGAAGTGAGAGGTCTCTGTGGTGTGACTGGGTCCTTGGCCTACCTGACCAGAAGGATGGAGGAAAGGCTGATTGGAACGATAAGTTTATTGTGAGGATGCTGGGTCGGGGTCATCAGAGGATCCTGGGTCGGGGCCAGGGCTGGGGCTGGGCTCAGGGTCAGGTTCGCCATCAGGGCTGGTGTCCTCTGGGGACATGTCCCAGGGGAAGCTTGGTTGTCCCCGCATCTGCTCCCGGTAGACACGGTCGAAGGCCTCGCTCTGCGCCACAGTGAAATGGTTCTTCCAGTCACCACTGATCCCTGGAGGGGACAGAGGAAGGGGCCACTGAGGAGCTGCTGGATGTCCCCTCTGCCTCCACTCACCATGGCCAGCTACACCATCTGTGTCACCTAGCGAGACCCCTATGCTTATTGCCTCTTTCCCTCACATGTAGGTGACCCTGTCAGCCCTGTCCTTTTGACCTCTGGCCTCCCAGATCTCTTCCTGGAACTCATTTCTCTCCTAGCACCCAAACACCCACTTTACAACCATCTCCCCCGGGAGCTGCCTCTGCCCGCCAGCACAACGCCCCCTACCCTCCTACCCCTCAGATACCCAGCATGGCCTCTAGCCACGTGACTTGATGGCCAGAGCACCCCAGCCAGGCACTCTGAAAGCTGTACATGAATGGACCAGTTTGAGGTCCTCACAGACTTTGAGCCATCTCAGCCAGGTGCCCCCACAAGCACTGAGTGCTGGCCCATCCTATCACAGTGCATCACGGTGACCACTGGGGTCCAGCTCTTGCCTGTGCGGAAAGGGCCCTTTCGGATAACTTGTTGAATTTTAGTTACATGTCACGTCACCTCTCTGGTGAGGCCAGAAGGTTCCCCGGAGGGGGCTGATATACCTTAGATATCCTCATTCCCAGTTCTTGGAATTTAGAATGAAACCACATGGCAACAGGACCTGGAGATGAGGGACTGACCTGGACCACCGGGAACCCTGTATTGTCACAGTGTCCTGATTTGTTTGGAGACAGAGTCTAAAGTAGCCCAGGCTGACCTCAACTCGGTATAGCTGGTTCGGTAGGTAAGCACCACCACACCCGACTAAATACTGAATTATTCTACACTAATAAAAAGGTTCCTGGGATGCCAGGCGGTGGTGGCGCACGCCTTTAGTCCCAGCACTCGGGAGGCAGAGGCAGGCAGATCTCTGTGAGTTCGAGACCAGCCTGGTCTACAAGAGCGAGTTCCAGGACAGCCTCCAAAGCCACAGAGAAACCCTGTCTTGAAAAACCACACACACACACACACACACACACACACACACACACACAGTTCCTGTTGGAGCCCAGATTTGGATGCCCTCAGGAGGCTTTGTTTCAGGGAGACGCCCAGATGGAGGGAGACCAGCAAGCACACACATGGAATGCCAGACCTCTTGCTGAGAGAGAAGACTAGGTGGCCCTTATACTCCATACAGCATCCGGGGAAAATGAAGGCCACAGAAGCTATGAGCTGCACAGTGGTACCTTTGCGTAGGAACGCCCCCTGGCGGTGGTCCAGCAGGCTGGCCGGCAGCAGCGTGTAGTTGGACATGGTATTGGCCTTCATAGCACCAAAAGCTGAGTGGGCCACCACAGAGCTCAGGGCCTCTTCACCCAGTGGCCGGCCCAGGAACTCACAGAGGCGTTGCACGGAGCCTCGCAGGTCCTGGGGTTGGAAGAGAAATAGTGGGTGGAGTGGGACCATTTTGGCTGGCCTGGAGGGGCTCCTGAATCTTTGCTTCAGTTTTTCAACCTCCAAGTCCAAGTTTGGGCCTTCCTGTCCTCCAGGATTCTAGAGGATTCTGCAGAAGGTGGGGGAGCAGGGGTTGGCAGAGGTCAGCCCAGCAGCTTACAGACCCTGAATGTCAGAATCCCACAGCTGTGGGAGGGGCTGCTTGGCCTCTCCCTGCATCCCCAGCACCGGTCTCCAGGACTTTCCCTACCTGTCTGCCTTAGCCCAGACACCTGTAACGCCTGCCTTTTTTTTTTTTTTTTCTGCCATGTCCTCATCTCTGTGTCCCCATTGTCCCCACCCTAGCCCATCACACCCTGTCCCAGGCAGCCCCTCGTCTGTGCAGCCCTTCTCCTAGCCTGCCTGCCTCCAGCATCCTGTCCCTTCAGTTTTGCTAAGCCTTCCCTGGCTTCCCTGACCCAGTGGCTCCCCAGGGTGTGGGACACAGTCTTCCCAGGCCTGGTTTCCAAGCACAGAGTGGTTTGGTGTGAGCAAGGAACTTGTCCAAAGTCACAGAGCCCCGAAGCTCAGACTCAGGCCCCAAGCCCCACGGTCCTCGCAACCTCACAGCCATCTTTGGCGTGCGGCTCTCTGCGTAACTGGCCAGTGCACAGCCCCAAAGCCTCCTTTTCCAGGTCATTCCTGTTTCATAACCCTTTCTTCTCTGAGCCACAGGCCTGTCCCAGAAACACACATGTGGGTGGTGCCATGCACCCCAGGAGTGGCCCAGAAGCTGTGCTTGGCTCCATGGCCCAGTTTCTAGCTTGAAAAATAAAACCTGATTGGATGTAGGTAGGGAGACATGGTGCTGAAACCTTTTCCAGAACTTTCCATCAGAAGAAATTATCAGGATGGAAAAAACATGGGGGCTACAGGGAATTGTTGTGTGTCTTTGGCAAATGCCTAGCTCGCTCCAGAGTGCTAGAACACATTTCTTCCATGGAACAGTGGTGAGGACTTACCAGAGGGAACCTTAAAAAAAATGTGATTTTCACAGCTCAAAATGAGTGGGCTATTGCTATTTTAAGTGAATATGTATGTATACTATACACTTAAATTTTTCATCACACTCGTGTGTGTGTGTGTGTGTGTGTGTTTATGTGCACATGTAGAGATCAGAGGACAAATGGCATGGGTCAGTTCTCTCCTTCCTCATCTGAAGATTGAACTCAGATCATCAGGCCTGGTAGCAAGTGACTTTACCCTTCCAGTCAACTTGCCAACTCCTTTTGTTTGTTGTTGTTCTTTTTTGCAGAGGGGGAGTTGAGACAGGGTTTCTCTGTGTAGTTCTGGCTGTCCTATAATTCACTCTGTAAACCAGGCTGGCCTCGAACTCAGATCCGCCTGCCTCTGCTTCCCGAGTGCTGGGAAAGAGGTTTCTTGTTTCCCTGAGACGAGGCTGGGGTGGGCTTGGGGCAGGCACACTCCTCACTGATGCCCACAGAGCGGCCTTTGCAAAGGTTCGGAGATGCCCTATGTGCTGAGAATCTACATTGTAACGACACAAAGTGTCTCCTGTCTTCTCTGTCATTCTGGAGGCTGAGCAGGGGTGAAAGCTCAAGGCCAGCCTGGGAAACTTACTGAGACTATCTTCAAATAAAGCAAGCAAAGGCTAAGGCTCAACTCGTGCCTAGGATCTCCCAGCGAGGACTTGGGAGCGCTTGCCTAATGTACACAAGACCTGGGCTCAATCCCCAAGAGAAAAAGGCGATAGCTACAGAACACGCCTGTAATATCAGTACTTGGTGGAGCTGAGTCAGGAAGGTCTTGAGATGAAGGCCAGCCTGGTCTACAGAGAGTTCCAGAACAGCCAGGGCTGCACAAGGAAACCCTGTCTCAACACACAAGCACGTGCTTGCTGGGTTTGCCCCCACGAAGCACTGCATGGTTGGGCATGGTGGTGCACTCCTAACAATCTCAGGCATTGTTGGAAACCAGAGAGTTGGCTCAAGGTCATCCTCGGAGACTTGGGCCATACGAGACGGAGAGAGTGGGGCGGGGCGTCCCCAGGGCCTTTGCACGGGCTGCTCTGGCCGCGCTCTCCGGTCGCTTGTTGCGGTCTACGTGTCCATTCTATCTGATCGCGAGTTCATTTGCCCTGTCTGCCTATAGTCACCCACTTCCCACCACCCCACCGCCGTAGGTTTTCCTTCCCCAGTGCAGGGCCTGGGAGGAGACCGGCAGACCCCGGGAAGCTCGTGGGAAGGGAAGAGCGCCAGACGAACCTGCTGCAGCTCCTCATAGGTGATAAACAGGAAGTTCTCGTGGCTCTGCATCCGGATCCAGCCCTTGATGTGGTCAAACCAGGAGCCAAACTGCACTGCAGGCATGGGGGAGGGGGTGTGAGGCCACATGGCTCTCGGGACCAGGCCGCTCAGGCCACCGCGTCCTTTGCGCCAGGGTCAGAGACCCTCCCGACCCCAAGCAGCTCTCGTCTGCACAGCCTGCCTTCCTGCCACATCCATACCGAGACAAGCAAAAAGGGACCGTTCCGCTGCTCGTCTGCCTCTTGGTCTGTCTGTCTGTCCGTCCACCCTCTGCTAGCCTCCCCTCTCCATCTCTGTCTCCCCGTCTGGCTCTCCCCGCGTCTCCCCATTTCCTCCTGACTGCCGTCCCAGTCCTCACCTTCTCCCTTGAGGAAAT